TTATTATTATTATTATTACTATTATTATTATTTGAAATGATGATAATTTTTGTCCATAAGTGGACAAATATACTACATGAAACTGCACCTGTCACAAAAACATTGTGTCAAGACATATCATGATGTTATTTCTCATATTTTTTGTTTTTAGTTGTCTGGGAAAAAATCCCTTTAGGATTCATAGTACTGATGGAATTTTCTGATGGAAATTTTTTCAACGAGGATAAAGTTAGAGGACACACAAGTTGCAACAGATGTTTTTTTTTCTTTTTTCAAGGAGCTACATTTATTACATGTTTCAAGTATGTTTCTACTTTAATTATTTCTTATATTGCTACCAGCCAGTTGGCGAGTAAGTTTTTTTACATGCATTTGACATTCGGCGAGTGTTAATTTTGGACCTTACTACTAGATGTTGTTCCCGGAATGACTGTGTGAAGAACTGGTCCGTTTTCCAATCTGTGGTATTATGCTTCATTTACTCCAGTCTAGATGACAAAAGACTGGCTTTCACTCTGGTGTGTGTCTACAGTTCCCTTGTTGAGATATTTTTGGAGGACATCAAATAAATCATTCTAACATGGAAGAGGGCTGAACCATCCTTTCGGTGATTAAGCGTCATGATCTCTTTCATATTGCGATCAAAGGAGGGGGAAAGTATTTTTGTGATACGTTTGTTTCCCAGCCACAACCACAGGACCGCTGAGACAGCTCGAAGTCTGTGTGCTGACCTTCCACACTTCAGATCATGACTGCATAAACACAGGTCACTGCTTTACGCTCGGGTCAGCCACTTCCTGAGAGAACAGGCACCCTACCAGTTCAGATATATGTACGTCTCCCCAGGAGTCAAAACTGCGAAGAGTTCGTCAAACCCTCCCCCATGTTTTCACGCATGTTTTCTCAGTAATGAGAGCTGTGCTAATCACTCATCAAAGTCTATTACAAAGATCTCCTAGTGACACTGAGCCACATAAAACCCATGTAAACAGCACTGAATTTCATTATATATCGGGATGAACTAGAGGGAAATCGTATTGAGTTCCCTGTTATTTTTTCATTATAATATCAACTTTGTCTCTGGTGTTTCTCATGAAATAGACAACTGAGACAATTTTTAGACATCAAAGAAGAATTTGATGGGAAATGTTTTTGTCCAAAATGAAAAAGAGGAAACACGGGGGTCTTTTTATCAGAAAAAATCTGAGAACAAAAACAAAAACACACACACACACACACACACACACGTAAGACGATTATTTATGTATTGTGCTTTAGTGTAGTAGAAGGATATATCAATTTGGGATTTACAAACTTCTGTAAAGATTCCAATAATTCAGTGAGATTTTTGTTTGAACAAGGAGTCCTGGAACAGCAGGTCCGGCCCACACAGAGATTTGATCTCACCATCATCAATTCAGAGACAGAAGCAATAGAACTGTGGCAACATTTCCAAGATACTTGAAACAAGTCCAAGACAACTGGCATATGAACCAGCGCAACAACTGAGTGCACCGTTAACATAAAATCTCAGAAAATACAATAATGACTGAACCCTAATCATTTTCACGGATGGTATGTTCCAGTGCCTAATGATTTATTTCAATTTAGGACCACCTCTTTCCTCATAAATTACAGATTTCCCAAGGTTTGGACTTGATTTACGATAGGAATAGATATATCATGGCACGCCGTGTCAGGAAGGAACACTAGTTCTGGCTTCCACCATCAGTGAAACTGTCAGACAGGAGCGAGAACGACACAAATCTGCCTATCCGGAGCAGTCTGGGCTCACAAGATCTATCCACAACACAAGGACTTCACCGCAGTTCATATCACGGGTTTTCTTGAAACCCAACAAATAACCAGACCAAACCTATTTGAGCTACTATCTGAGGGAGTTCCTTTTCCCCCCTCAATAAGTCCCTGAGAAAAGCCATACAAAGAGCCTATAATGTCTTTATCCTGAACAAAAGCCGGGGTGACTCTGAGCTGACAGGGTGAGCCGAATTCATTTCTGGCTCAGCTGGTGGCGGAGACGACTGGCGAACCCTAATGAAAAACTATGATAAAATCTTTCATTTCCACCAAGTTTTGCTAGAGGGTCAGTGGAGGAGGACAAATGATGAACAGTTATTATTTTCAGTGCTCTTGGGGTGTCTGTGATATATCGGTTCAATGCTGATTCCCCGTCCGGAATTTGAAGCTGTTTCTGTCTCCTCTCTTTTGTTGTCAAAAATACTTAATGTTGATGTTACAATGGTTGCTGCGGCCTACACGACTGTACCCTAGCTGGAACATTGAACAAGTCTGAATTTCCCTTTGCAACTACCAGTAATTATTTCTTAAAAAACTAAAAACTAAAACAAAACGACAGTTATTATTTTCAGTGCTCTTGGGGTGTCTGTGATATATCGGTTCAATGCTGATTCCCCGTCCGGAATTTGAAGCTATTTCTGTCTCCTCTCTTTTGTTGTCAAAAATACTTAATGTTGATGTTACAATGGTTGCTGCGGCCTACACGACTGTACCCTAGCTGGAACATTGAACAAGTCTGAATTTCCCTTTGCAACTACCAGTAATTATTTCTTAAAAAACTAAAAACTAAAACAAAACATAAAGGTTTGGCAAATAAGGCCCTAAAGACCAGTAAGAAAAGGTTGTAGATTCCTAGACAAAGATTACCTATTCATAAACAAAATTATCTTGTTAATGGCAGTTCTTGGGTATTCTTTCTAGTCCTTGACTACCCTTAATTTGTACAATAATCCAAGGCAATAATAAATAAATATGGCAATGATAAATAATAAGAAATATTAATATTTTGCAATTCTACGAGTGGTGCAGAAATTACACATTTTACTCCCAGTTTGTAAGTTGCATTTAGTGTATATTTATCAATTCTAGTTCAATGCTACCTTTGTTCTCTATAGTATATCATTAGATAGCAATATATTCATAAAGATATTGGCCCTTTATAGCTTAAATATAATTTGTTTGTTTGGGGTAGCTAATTACTTCTTCTTCTTCCTCTTCAAAAAAAATTATATATATATATATATATATATATATATATATATATATATATATATATATATTTTCTATTTTTTATAT